AAAGCAGTACTCCTGCATCACTTTAGTGGCCAAGGGTTGTGCTACCCCGTTACTGCCAAATGGAGATAGAAGTATGTTTCTTCCACTCAACATTGGCATGTAGGAATGCAAGGACGTCTTGTTACTGCCAGGCAGGTGTGTGAATTTTGCTTCCCGCTAGGCTTTTTGCAGCTCCCACCCAAGCTGAGAGGAGCAATGTGCCTGCTCACGTGGCCTCTGTTGACAGTGCAGTGGGGCAGAGTGGGCTTCTTGTTACTGCTGAATGATGGTCAACAGCCTGATTCTGCTGGCGGTGAGCCAGGCAGGTGTGGCCTCACCACCAGCAGGTGGAAGTAGCTGTTGAGGCTCACTGCACAGTCTTCATGAACACAATAGGGTGTGTTTGGAGGCTCATTCTTCCCATAGCCGCCTAGCCAGGGTGCAAGCCAGGCCTTTGCAGATAACCTACAGGCAGAAGTGTGGGCACAGTGCCGCAGCCTGAAGAGGGCTAGCGTCTAGAGTCCAAGGTGTGCCTTTGTTGTCAGGATTTGTGGTCTAACGTTATTTTTCCTCTGGGCTGTACCTTGAATACGGTGGTTTCATCTGAATCAGTTTTCTGCATTTCTGAGCTGCACTTCTGATTTGGGGTTAGAGAGAACATGGTTTGCTTGTGATTTCTTTTGGTTGTGGCTGTTTCCAGATTGTTGACTTGTCCAGAATCTAGCATGGATTATGAGAGAACGCTTCACCTTGTTCCCTGGTTCAAACAAGGTGCACCTTTGCGTTTGTTCAGTATAAAACTTTCTTTGCTTTCTGTTTTTGTCACCATTATTTTTCATTATACAGTTTTGTAGGTATAAGGCTTCCCTCCTTACCTCACTCTCCTCCCTCCCCATTCTCCTGATATAAAACTCTTAATTTACAATCATCCACCCTTCAATGTATTAGTTGAATAAACTAGGTTATTTTCTTATAACATTTCCTATAATTCTGCATATTGATGAATTGTTCCTTAAGGAATGTTTCTCCATTCCGTTAATCTCTGTCATCTTGTTAGTAGATCTAAGGGCTCAGTTAGATTCAGTTTTAGAGTTTTCCTAATAGTTTCACATAGGTGATGCCATGTACCAACTGTCAGTAAACCTCAGGTGTCAGATAAAGGTCCATTTCTCACTCGTTTAGTGCTAAGGTTGATTTAGAGGGCTCAGGTGGTGTTAGTGTGATTGAGCCATTATAAAGTTCTCCACCAACATCCTGCCTAATTAATTTAGCGTTGATGATCCTTCATTTCCTTAGGAGCTGCAAAATGGTGATTGTTTTTCTCTAAATTTATTAGCAAGACTTCTTCGATGAAGAATAATTTTCCTTCATTAACTTGTTGATAGGCCTACAATGTAATTTTTTTTTTTTTACCAAAAATTGCAGGATGCATGATTGATTATTTCCTTTTATTAGTTACAAGGCAGTTTCTTGTCCTGGCAAATTCTAAAGGTGAGTGAAGATATATATATATTTTTTATCATGATTTGAACTCAGCTTTCAACCACTCATCTGCTGTAGACATTCTCTTTTTTAATATATATGTATATTTTATTAATTGCATTGCATTATGTGACACAGTTTCATAGGCTCTGTTTTTTGTCCCATTTTTGGTAAAATCTGAACTCCTTCAGGTTGTTCTGGGTTCTCAAGCTTTTGGTGACTTCCATGTTTCATGGCACGGGACAGTGTCTCAAGTTGTCTTATCTGGTCCTCAACCTCACGTGGCCCGTTTTCCCAGGGGCGGATGCTCCTCTTAGTGGTGGAGTCTGGAGAATGCAGTGCAGCTCCCAGGGCTGTCATTAGTGTTGGTCTTCCACTGCTCCCGGGCTTTTCTTCAGTGAGCAGGTGATTTAAACAGAGAACATCACCCTTGGCTCACACACCTATTTTCAATTTAAAATGATAACAATTCATAGTGTCAAAACATTTTTGGTTTTAGACTTTTAAAATGCTGAGATGTTTAATTCCTAATAGTATTGATATGACTTATTTGTTTAAGATAGTATTATTAATGCTATGACCTAAGACCATTCAATAAGTGGCGAGATTTCCCTGCAGTTCTAAAGAGTTTAATAGTGTGTAACTTGGAGGAAATATAGCTAAAGTACAATTTTAAAGTCATTTAAAAGAGTGTGTTTTTTCCTTTGTAGTTTAAAACAAGTTTCAAACATAACAAGGTTAGTTTATTTCAGTTTGTTTCCAATTTTAAAAAAGAAGTATTTATTTGAAAGTCAAAGTTTCAGAGAGAGGGAGAGACGGGAAGATCTTCCATTCACTGGCTCACACTCAAATAGCCACAACCAGTGCTGTGCCAGCTGAAACCTTGAGCTTCCTTCAGGTCTCCCGTGCAGGTGCAAGGGCCCAAATATGCACATCATCTTTCATTGTTTTTCCCAGGCCATTAACAGCGAGCTGGATCAGAAGTGGAGCAGCCTCAAATTGGTGCTGTATTATTAGCAAGTAATCTTTGATTTTGATATTTCTAGGTCGTCGAACCTGATTTCTTTGTTTCTTAATATAGCAAATTTGTTGCTATCATATTTTCTTTAAAAGAGGCATTTCCCCCATTATTAGCAAGTAATCTTTGATATTTGTCTCTAGGCCTGTTTAATGCTTTACTCTGATCTGTGTCCACCCAGCATATCTAGTAATAGGAGGTTGAAAATCTGTTATTTGTGTATTTGTAGCTCCTTTTACTTCTTGTAGTCTGACTCAAACAGATGGCTTCTGAGCTATTTGACACATGTAAATCCATAACTTTTATGTTTTCATTTTTACTAACAGCTATAAAATATCTTCCTTTATATTGTTTAATGTTTATTTTAAAATTCTCACACTAAATTTGAATCACAGTCCTGCTTTTTAATTGCTTTTGTTATTGTCAGCACTCAAAGTGGACCATTCCCACCAAAATTTGATTTGAATGTCAAGGTTGATGATGCTATATGCACCTAGAAGATACAGAAAAAGTTTTTACTCACATAATGGGCTTTCTGGGAGACTAGGGCATGCCCCCAAGTGTGTTCCTATGGGGCGTTATTGGGGACCTGTCCAAACAGGCTGCAGTTCTAGCTGGCGTACGTGAGGGCCGATTGTGTAGTGCACTGGTTTGGTCTAGGCTGCAGAGTCCATTTGCACAACAGATGGAGCTGGAGACAGAACTGACCAGCAATTATAATTACTATTGTATGCATGGGTTGATGTGGGTAATTGACTGAGCCAGACCCCATACTGGCAAGCACACACAAGAGTCAAGTTTGGGGTCACAGACAAGGTTCCTGTGTGGATCCCCCATCTAATTGAACCACTAGACTCAGATCCTCCAACACACATGGAGGATATGCCAGCCCACTTGGATCTGCAGAGGACATCTGGTACCATAGGAGGGCAGAACAAATTGGATAACCACAGCAGCCAAGTGATGATAGCAAACATCTGGGCGAATGGAGGCTCTGAGGTGGACTATGTCAGCCAGCAGGCATTAGAAGGATTGACAAGCTTTGGATGGGTGAGATCGACAGCACCTCAGAACCACTGAAACCGCCTAAGCAGATCCCTCGGAGCATGCCCCACTTCGGGGAATCTGGGTTGACATCAGGTGGCCGTTCCCCATTCACAGGAACCAGGGTGGTTGGGAGGCTGGGTGTGGCTTCCCCACTTGTCTCCCTGCTTCCCCTAGATATGGGAGGAAGAAAAAGTTTTGGAGACAATGCTCTCACTCACTTTCCCCTGACTCTCAATCTTTCCCACCCTGATAAACTATTAAACTATGTAAACACCAACCAAAAAAAAAAAAATAGCCGGAGAATGCAGGGAGACACAGGTTGAGTTTCATCTTGTTCAAGGGTGCGGTTGTGACAAATGGGCCTGGTGTGCAAACTTCCAGCTTGCCTGGGTGGGTGGCAGAAGGGAAAAGGTAGTAGTGAACTTGAAAGCTCTTGGCAGCCACATAACAAAAGAATCAGGCTCTCGCCTATTGGATCATTGTAATTTTAGGCTTGTCTTCTATGTGTATATCCTAAAGTTGCAATTTCCTTTTGATTCAGTTTGAAATATCTTTCTTGTAACATAAGCCCATTTGCCTCTGTATTACGCTTGACTTTCTTTTTTTAAAAAAACAAACCCATGTATTTTTATTTGAAAGGCAGGAGAGATATATAGAGAGGTCTTTCATCCTCTGCCTTTCTCCCCAAATGGCTGCAACATCCAAGCCTGGGCTGGTCCGAAGGCAGGAGAAGGAGCTTCTCTGGGTCTCCCGTGTGCGCAGAGGCCTGAGCCATCTTCCGCTGCATCCCCAGGCCATGAGCTGGGGAATTGCAAGTGGAGCAGTTTGAACTAGAACTGACAACCATAAAGGATGCCGGTGGCACAGACAGAAGATTAGCTTGCTAAATTCAGTGCTGGCCCAGTATGTTTGACTTTTAAAATCTCACTTTAATCATATTATTTTATATTGTGCTCAAAGTGTCTAGTACATTTGATTTGTTCAGTGTGCTTGCTTTGCTTTTTTCAAAATTTATTTTGCTATTGTTAACTTGCTGAAGTTAATTTTTACATTTTTAAAAGATTTATTGGAAAGTCATATATACAGAAAGAAGGGGAGAGAGAGAGAGAGAGAGGAAGCTCTTCCATCCGCTGATTCATTCCTCAAGTGGCTGCAATGGCCGGAGCTGCACTGACCTGAAACCAGGAGCCAAGAGCTTCTTCCAGGTCTCCCACATGAGTGCAGGGTCCCAAGGCTTTGTGCCTTCTTCTGCTGCTTTTCCAATTTGGGGTAAGGATGAATCTAGACTAGCTGATGAATAGAAGCATCTGCTTTTGATATTTGTTCCAAACATTTGGTCTGTCTTTTGAAAATCAATATTTTCTAAACCTTTGCGTATTTGGAAAATCTTGAACATAAAAAAATGACCTGTATTTAAGAATTAACTATATTTGTTTTAAAACAGCTCTCTTTTTTTCTCCCCACTCTTAGATGATTGAAGAAAATAACTAAAAATGGCAAGTAAAAGACTGGAAGAGTCCATGGGAGCAGTTCAGATGGGGTTAGTGAAAATGCTCAAAGGATTCAAGAGCAAAGTTTTGCCACCCCTGAATCCAAAGGTTGTTACAGAAGAAGAAGTGAACCAAATGGTAATGTACCTGGGCATTTCTGTGTGGGATATTTTCTGCAGCCTCTTAGGTGGTTGATAGTTGCTATTCGACATTCTCAAGCTACCCACCAGAATCACTGATTAATATCAACTTACTTTAGAGTGATAGCTTGCTGTGGAGCAGACGCACATTTTAAAACTTGAGAAATTTTGGAATCGCATACATGTGTCCAAGTGGAGGCTTGAATTACTTAAATCAATCAGGAAAGAAGACTCCATGCCTCAGGCTCTTTCCTGTGGCTGTGATAGAATTCAGGAGCCTGGGTGATGATTTGTTTGGCTCACTAATCTACAGGGTAGGAAGTCCCAGATTGGTGGCTGCATGTCATGAAAGCCTTGTGCTGCGACCTGGCATGGTAGAATAAAGGGAGAGGGAAAGCAGGTGGGTGTATGTGGGATAGAAAAAAATGAGGAGTGGGCAGAAGTCCCTCAAAACCAACCCAGTCCCTCCAAGAAAAGGACAATTCATGTATAAGGGCTCTGTCCCTGTGACTCAAACTCTTTCCATTAGACCCCACCTCCCATCCTTGCTGTCCAGAAGAATTAAGGCTACGGTACGTGGACTTGGAGGGACACACTCAAACCATAGTGCCAGGCAAACTGTTGCATGCAACCATGTGGAATCATTTGTGTAGTTAAAGAACAAAGATGTGAATTTCATAGCAATCAGCCTAATGCTTTACTGCTCGCTGGTTGGCAAAAGTTATTTTTTGTTTATATATTTATAAAAGGTAGAACATTAAAATTGCTTAAGAATATCTAGGAAAACAGCACAATCTTTTGTCCTGCAAACTGAAATTTTAAGAGAGCAGGCATTGTGGCACTACACGTGAAACCATCCATTGGGACACCTGTCTTTCATATTGGAGTGCTGGTTCGAGTTCTGGTTCTCCTGCTTCCAGTTCATCTCTCTGTTAGCATTTCCTTGTGGGGCAGCATAGATCATTCAAGATTCTGGGGACCATGACACTCATCTAGAAGATGGAGTTTCAGGCCCTGGACCTCTGTCTGGTCAACCCTGGCTACTACATTTATCCGGGGGAGTGACCAGCACATAGAAGATCTTTCTCTTTTTTCTTTGTGTGTGTGTATCTTTCAAGTAGATGACCAAATAAAGATTTAAAATATTTATGTAATTTGTTATTTGTTGATCGCTGAATTATTAGCCATGTGCATTAGAAAATGTTAACAAAAATGTATAGTGATTGGAATAGCATTCACCATATTTTAAACAATTATTTTCAAGTTGCAAACTACTTAGCAAAATAAAATCAGTTAATCTGCATTCTTTTGTGGTTGGTACATATTTATAGAAATTCCTGCCCTTTTGCTTCAGACGTTTTAATATTCTAAGTCACCGTATAGCCGATACTTCTTACACTTTGTTACTTGCATCTGTGTTCCACAGAGAATTTAAACACCAGTTGAATACTTGTATTCAAAATATGCCTCCATTTGCATGGATTTAATCATAGAAATCAAATTTGTAAGAAAATAAGCACACTTGAAGAGTGTTGATTTTAAGACAAAATAAATTAGGGCCCTGCGGCTAAAGTCCTCGCCTTGAACATGCCAGGATTGCATTTGGCCGCCGGTTCAAATCCTGCTGGCCTGGCTTCCATCCAGCTCCCTGCTTGTGGCCTGGGAAAGCAGCAGAGCACGGCCCATACACTTGGAACCCTGCACCTGCATGGGAGACCTAGAGGAAGTTTTTGGCTCCTGGCTTGGGATCGGCTCAGTTCTGGCTGTTACAATCACTTGGGGAGTGAATCATTGGACGGAAGATCCTCCTCTCTGCATATCTGACTTTGCAATAAAAATAAATAAATCTTAAAAAAAGCCAAAATAAATTAGCTAGATGTTGTACCCCTGAATGTTTTTAAATTGATTAATTATTTATTTATTATTGACTCACTCCCCAAGTGGCTGCAGTGTCTGAAGTTGTGCCAATCTGAAGCCAGGAGCCAGAAGCCTCTTCTGGGTCTATCACATGGGCACGGGCTTTGGGTCATCCTCTACTGCTTTCCCAGCCCACAAGCAGGGAGCTGGATGTGAAGTGGGGCCTCCAGGATTAGAACCAGTGCCCTTATGGGATCCCGGAATGTGTACGGCGAGGACTTTGGCTGCTAGGCTACCACGGTGCCCCCCATCCCCCGAATGTTTTTTGAAGTATGTTACTGCCAGTGATCACCTTGTTTATAAAGTAGGATTTGGAATCATATGAAAACTCTAGAACAACATTGACTGATTAACAGTGATTTGTCCTGGCTAACTAATCCCTTTTTGCGTTAGTTTTATTTAAATGATAAATTATACTTCTTCATATAGCATCGGTAAGTGTTAAAGCATTTTGTGTTCTCGCTTGGACTGCTGGCTCTGATTAAGTTATAACTCTTTCAGGGGAAGATCTGAATATGCTTTTGTTATTTCTGAAAAGCTTGCTTTCATTTCTAAGTATGCAATACCCTTTCCAAGATCCTTTATATTTTGTAGGCTTTGTCTGTAACATGATGGCTAGGTACTGAAAAGCTTTGTATGTTTTGATTCTATCAGAGAAACAGAAATAGGAGTATTTCAAACTCCTTAGCTCTGAAGCCCGTAAGCGATTTTACAAACTTCGAATTTTATGCTCAGATGCCCCCTTTGAGCGTGAATACTAAACTGTTTGGACATGTTCCTTTATAATTTCTTGACTTTTTTTTCTCTAGAGTTCCTTTGTATGATTCCTTTGGAATTGTAAGCAAACAGCAACCACATGTCATTTTAAATTACTATGCAAAGACCTCAAAAGTGCATGGGTCCTTCTCTTGTATAATTTAGTCATTTTAAATATTTTATAAGGGAAGTTAGTGGCATGCCAGAATTATCCTGAAAGCCGAGAACACAAATTATTCATTGCCGTCACTTGCAAGCACTTTTTCAGTATAACCACTTATAAATTTCTGACTCTTATTTTAAATTCCAGCTGACACCCTCAGAGTACTTAAAGGAAATGTCCCTCACCACCGAGCAGAGGCTGGCCAGTACACATACGATCTGCCGACCGCAGATCATCGAACTCTTAGATATGGGAGAAACAACACACCAAAAGGTAGCTGCTTGCTGTTATACTCCTGTGGATATCCCAAAAGTTACAAAAGTAAATAGAAGTTGTTGTTTCTGGACTAGTGAATCCTTCTCCCGGTTTGTTTCATACCCTACTTTGATACCTCTGTTGATGCTGATACCTGTGATTTGATAATGGTGGTAATTACAGTAAGTGTGAACCTCATTCAAAATAGCTTGTAAATAGTCCTCAGCTACTTCTGGACAGTATTTGACCCTGTTATTTACAAGTTAGGAGTAAATTTAGGAATTGTATTAGCCAAGACTGATGAAGTTATTGTCTTGGCATAACAAGCAGGTCCTTCTTACTTGAGCTGGAAAAAAAGGAAGCATTACTTTTTTATAATTAGGTATTTACTCCCTATTCCTGCTGATTTCTAATCTTCTCCGAGGATTCCCCCACTGTCCTGAGTTTTTACCAGTTACACGGCAGAAGACAAATGAGTGTTTGAGGCCCTTTTGCTGCTAGCCCGTTACCTGTCCTGTTTAGGGCCTGCACAGACTCGGCTGATCTGAGCATTGCCAGCCTCAGTGAGTGTCTCTTCTCTCGACTGCGCCCACCTGCCAAAGCTGGGTGGAATGAACAAAGCCTTTCCCAAAGCTGATGCATCCTAATCAATGCTTATGTCATCTTTTCTGGAAGCATAATAAATGCTAGACTATGAGTAATATATTTCAGCATATACTGCTTATATGCTCATTTTAATATATCTACATATTGCCCGATATAGAACTAACAGATTTCTGATCATTTTTGTAGTTTTCTTGCAGTTGCAAAACCTTTTTTTGATAGTGATAAAATTACATAATTGTAAAATTATAGAAATGATTAGAGCCCTGTGGTGATGTTTCCTTCTTACAGGCAGACTTGTTTAATTCCATCTTCTTCATTCCCTTTTGAGGAACGGGAAGCCACAGCTTACCCTTTTTCTGTGATGCAGCCACTCAGGGGTCCCTGCAGGGCAAAGTCCATCAGAATCCTTTGACAAATCTTGAGCCTCTCTTTCTCTCCCTGGTCCTGCACTGTTTTCAAAAATGCTATACAGGATCTTGGCCACCCATTCTGTAATACACGGAGGAAAAGCTCACCTAACTTTCTCTACTCCCTCCACTCGCCGCCTGCAGTTTTCTGTTTTCTCTTGGACTCTGGCCATTGGTTGTTTGCTGTCTTATTTCCATGCAGATACATCTCAATATAGCTTTTCTGGTTATTCTTGGTCCAATATACCGTACTCACCATTAGTTAACTGGTATTCTGGGTTAATATGCTGATTAGAATATGTATATATTTTAAAGCTGAGGTCTGCTCCTAAGCTGATGACAATAAAATAATGACAATTAAAATAAACTGTTATTGTCTGTTATAGTTGCCCTTTTCTGAGTGTCTCCCAGGTGGTTAATTTTAATAGCCCGAGGTGTACACAGTACATTCTTACTGTTCTGGTAGATGAATAATTTACTCTTTCAATTGCAGTTTTCAGGAATTGACCTCGATCAAGCATTATTCCAACCCTTTCCATCAGAAATTATATTCCAGAACTATACTCCCTGTGAAGTCTATGAGGTTCCACTGGTTTTGAGGAACAATGATAAAGTGAGTATGTCTGCTGAACTTTTCTAGAATATAGCAAAAGTAGTTAGACAACATGGGGTCTCTGGGCTCCTCCAGAAGAGTGCTGTGCTTTGAGCTAGTTAGGAAAGTCATATGAAAACTTACTTCTTATTTTTAAACTTGTGGTTTTAGTGGTTCAAAGAACATGATGAGGCAGGTCTATTTGTTGGGCCATCTGGTGGGGTGTAGAGAGAGGAACAGTCACGTGGCAAGGCAGCGAGAAAAGGGGCTCCATTCAGCTTACATAACCAATGCTCGCCCAAAACTGCCCTGCCGTGGTACTTCACCGCCATCATTGGGTCAGGCCTGCACCCTCGTTAGTACCAGTAGGTTGTGACTTTGGGGAGTAAACACCCACATGAGTTGAGGAGCCAAAAGTTGCTCAAATGATAGCAGAAGGGAGTGCAGGATGATTTCTTTTTTCAGAGCAGTTTTGAAATATTGGGACATCCAGGTGAGCTCTGCTCTATAAGTGTATGATTTCAACTAGTCTTCAGTCTTTGAAGAGAGCCACATTCAAATGGTAAGATGAAACCAGACTTGAAGTTGTAATACAAATGAGTAAAACTAATAATGTTAATAAAAATTTAAGTTAACAAAGGTCCTGTCATCTCTGTGCACTTGAGGAAGCAAGTTCAGGCCTGACCAAAGCCACATGTCCAACAAGAAACTGACAAGGATTTCAGCCTATGCTTAGTTCCAAAACCTTAAAAAAAAAAAAATCTGCATTCTCACATCTATTGTGTGAGCCTTAATACATTTTTCTTCCAGATTCCACGGATGGTGAAAGTTGTAGAAGAAAGTTCACCTTACTTCAAAGTTATCAAGCCTAAAGAGATTGGCAACAAGGTGGCCCCAGGGGTGCCATCCACATTCCGAATCCTCTTCACACCAGAGGAGAACAAGGTGAGCTTCCTACTGGCAGAGAAGCCAGGAGAACGCGTGTTGCTGGCTGTTTGCAATTCCTTTCTGAACACTCACAGGGTTTGGTGGTGGCAGTGGCGGTGACAGCACTCCCCCTGCCTACCGCGGCCCACACCCATCTTGTGATAGACTTGTGATCGTCTTGCAGTAAACAGCTTCAGAATGCAGGTGGGTTATGTAAGTTGTGGCAGGCTACACAGTGCCACCTGGCAAAATACAGGACAGTTGTATTGATTGGCTAGGTTTATAACATGTGATAGATGCTTATATCCAATAGAAACATTGCTACTACCCTGAGGCTTGTTTCCCTGGGCTCTTTCTATATAAGCTTCTGCTTGGTTATTAATAAATGGACAACTTCACCATAACTGTCTCTTGGAATTCTTTATTGAGAATGCCGTCACCTCACCATGTAACCCGAGTGTGTGGTCCACAGCCGAGGCCCCCCACAGCATGGGAAATCAGTAGAGGATAGCCCAAGTCCTTGGAACCCTGCACTCACATGGGAGACCCAGGGAAGACTCCTGGCTCTTGGCTTTGGATCAGTTTAGCTCTGGTGGTGTGACCACTGGGAGTGAATCAATAGACAGAAGACCTGTCTCTGTCTCTGCTTCTCTGTAATATCTGTCTTTCAAGTAAAGATAAATAAATCTTTAAAAAGAAAAAGTAAGAGAAGACCTAAATAGGTACAACAGGATGTTCAGAACAGTGTGCTTGTCTATGGCACTATTTTGGTTGAAACCAGGACACAGTGAAGTTACACCTAGAAGTTAGACAGAAGTAGCTTCAAGTCCTATTCCAGCTTCTCCTCCACTAACACTGGCTGCTGTGAGTGACAGGACCCGCATTCCTTCCGACTTTATTGGAAAACAGGACTTATTATTCTAGACAGTTCTCTCCTTTTATTGACTGAAATTACTGCATCTTTGATATCTGCACCTGCCCTCACTGTTGGAAATCTGACTGAGCCATAGACTGAGTGACCAGTCGGGACTAGGCATGAAGTGTTCCATGCGAAAGAAAAAAGTCAGAGAAGTAAATAGAGCCAGGTTTACTTTGGGGAAATTAGAAACCAGTCATTCACCAAGTGTCACTGTTTCTCCATTTGGCCAAATTGGAAGCTGAAGTCTCTGTATTTTTTGCTCCTTATCCCCTGCTGATCTAAACATGCTCCCTGCTCATTTACCCTGCTCACATCTGGAGGGTGAGATATGTAAATTGCAGCATGCCATGGTTAACAATCCAGTCCCCTTTCAAATGGATTTTCAGTGCCCATGTATATTAGCACATTGAAGATGATAAAGCAACTAACATTTTCCCTGTCATCATCCTAGGGATGGGACTTGTTAAGGATTCCAAATACTCAGATAACAGGTGCAGCAAATTCTACTCTGATTTGCCTTATCTTTACTCACACAGACTTTTAAAAATGATTAAATATGTTATTAATCTAATAATTCTAGTTGTATATATATCATGCATTGTAGAATAGAATAGTCAGTGTTATCATTTTTAAAAAGTGCTATAAAATTCTAGAACTTGGCATTTTTTCTTGACCTCTTTAATTTGTATTTTTACTATTAAAATGAATATAAAAAAAATCAGGCTTTTATGGGAAGCAACACATCGTTGGAAGCCAGAGAGCATTGTTTTGTGGTTGTCACATGGAGATGCCAGTAAGGCTTGGAAAAAGGATGCTGTGATACACTTTTACTGCTTAGTTATGTTGTTTTTAAAAAGATTTATTTTATTTTTATTGGAAAGTCAGATTTACAGAAAGGAGGAGAGACAAAGAGGAAGATCTTCTCTCTATTGATTTACTCCCTAAGTGGCTGCAACGGCCAGAGTTGCGACAATCTGAAGCCAGGAGCCAGGAACCTCTTCCTGGTGTCCCACACAGGTACATCCTGTGTGTGGGCCATCCTCTGCTGCTTTCCCAGGCCACAAGCAGGGAGCTGGATGGGAAATAGGGCTGCAAGGATTAGAACCGGTGCCCATATGGGATCCAGCGGTGTGCAAGGTGAGGACTTCAGCCATTAGGCTACTGTGCTGGGCCCTTGCTTAGTTATGTTTTTTAAAAAATCTAATTTATTATCCAAGTGGTTTTCCTGATTTGTAATTATAAAGTTGAAAACTATAGCAGTAACAGAATAGAAAATTTTAGCATGTTGCCTAAATGTATAATAATAATAAACCATGTTGTCAGAGTTTTGACTTAAAATAGATATCACAAATTTTTTCACAATTGATCATTTTTGGCAAAACTATTGATAGGGATTTTTTTTCATTCTGCTTGGAATTAGACCTCCCTAGTTCTGTGGGGGGTCACCCTGTAACCCGGTCTAGCTAGCACAGTGCCTGCCCAAAGGATGTATGCAGCATATGTTTGTCAAGTGAGATTAATATACAACAGTTAATCCTTTTCTTTCATTTTAAAAGAATATTTGCTTATTTTTTTTAAAAAAAAAATCAGATTTACAGAAAGGAGAAACAGAGAGAGCGATCCTCCATTCATTGTTTGACTCCCCAAGTGGCTGCCAGCGGTTAGAGCTGAGTTGATCTGAAGCGAGGATCCAGGAGCTTCCTCTGGGTCTCCCGGGTGGTGTACTCAGAGTCCCAAGGCTTTGGGCTATCATCTGATGTTTGCTTAGGTTCAAAGTGGGAGCTGATTGGGAAGTGGAGCAGCCACCTACAGACCCATATGGGATGACAGCACTTGCAGGTGAAGGATTAGCCTATTGAGCTGCTGCAGTGACTCCAGTTTCAGGAACATATATGGAAGTTTCTTCATCTTGAAGTTGGCCTATGGTTGAGAAAAATAAAAGCATATCAGAGGGAATCAGATATTTTCCAATGTCATGAATGGCCTAGATGTTTACTCTTTGTTTTCGTTTCAACCAGGCAGGGGATGTCTGAGAAGTCTTCTCTCACTGAGGATCTTACTCTCCGTTGTGTTTTACGTCTTCAGTGAATTAAGTCACTACTTTTTGGTTTCTGGACTCGATAATGTCATTTGATAATGAAGTTAGTGAGGATCTTAGAAATTGTCTATGAACTCTTGATAGCTCAGAGCCTAAATTTAAATATTAAAAATGAACAATGTTATTTCATTCACACTATCTATGCCACATGCAGTTATTTTTTAGCCTTCTTTTCTCCCTCTTTTTTTTCTTTTATTTACATAGAGGGATCATGTTTCATGTATTTTACACATACAGGTATACAGGCTTAGAGGCATGGTGCTTCCCACACTCACCCTATCCCACCCTCCTCTTCCTCTTATTAGTTTACTTTTAATTTTTACAAGAACATATTCCAGCATGATTATAAACTGATACATGCATGTTCAGTAAAAATGAAAAATTAATGATTCAGGAAGCTCCCAGCGTGAGAATGGTTGAGTTCTAATACGTGGTGGGAGGCTCTGGTCTTAGATAGTGATGGAAGTACAGGTAGAGTACATGGGTTATAGACGGGAGTAGATCACTGGATTCAAAGGCAGAGGGAGGGAGAAGCCACCAAAGAGAAAATTAATGATTTATGTGTGAATCATAAGTAACCACACTATCATTATTTACTAAGCACAGAATAACCAAAATTAATTTCGACCTCCTGTTTTTGTTTTTGTTCTCAAGCCAGAGGCCAGTGACCATTGTCTTTGAATTAGTGGGGAGATGTAGATATCACTGGGGAGGCTGAGATCTCAACTAAGTCTCACACTTGGCCATGGTGGTATAGGAGAAGGCGTAAAATACCCAGTCTTGTTTTAAAGCCAATGAGAATTTTAGATACGAGTGTTCCCTTTGGAGGGTGAATTTCAGACTGAGGAGACATTACATAATATATACTTTTAACTAGTTAAAGAATTTAGAACGTTTATAGGATCACCAAACATTGAATTTACTGTCTTAACCAAACCTGGCTTCATCTGGTTGTCATCCCTCTACTAAGCTTAGGAGTGAAAAAAAGTCAGAGGGAATGAGGGCTTAGCCATATTGGCTTTGCCCTTGTTCATCCAGAGTCATTGCAGTAGAAGACATTATTTTCCTTTGCTTGAGATTTGAAAGGGCACAATTATGGTTATGTTTGCTTTCTATCTATCATCTTAATGTAAAATTAAGATTCATTCATTTCACAGAAAGGCATATCTGTCATTTTCATCTTCTACATGGTCTTTGCAAGTTTGGAGGATTGGTGTTTTGGCAGGAAGGCTAACAGCAACAACAAAAATGGTTAGGAAGTTTTATCCAGAGAGCATTGTTAAATGGCATAACATTTGAGGATAGAAAGTAGTTCATGGCTGAGCCTCTAATAGCAGAGGGGAAATAGTTCAGAATAAATATTTTGGCTTTGAATGGTGACCTGACAGCTCTGAATCCAGCACAAAAGGGAGTACATCAACTGAAGTAATTGCTTGGCTTGCAGGCTGCCAGAGCCTCCAAACATCTGAATTAATTTGAAGTCTGTGGAGCCATATATAATAGTACATTACATAAGCTAATACAGTCAGCCTAAATGCATAACTTCAGAGATTGGAATACATCTTAAAGGAATTGTTTAAATGACTTTCTTCATATGCTTAGATTGGTATATGAATTGGCTTTGAAAAATATGTATATATGATCAAATTTCATTCCTCATTTGGGTACTTGAGAAGGTTTGAGAACAGCCTTCATAGTATTTCAGTGATCTTCTTTAACTATTGTCGGATTCGGTTTCTTATAGAACAAAGAAAGGGATGTTTAGATATAGAATAAAATGAGGCAAAACATGCCAGGGTCTCTCCCATTCTGAATTCAGCAGCATTTTAAAATTCTTTCTCCCAAGCCTTCAGTTAATAGTAAGTTTTCAGATGTTTCAGGTGCTGTCCGGTTTATAATTCCCAGCAAAAGCTTTGCTGGCTGGATTTAATCTAGGGGAAAAAATGAACACAGTACTTGTCTCTTTAAGATTCTGTTATAAGGCCAGACGGTTGCTTTGTTGAATTCCGTGGGGTTTTCTGAGATCAGGTATCTTTGTGCAGTTTATATTTATTTCCTTAGGTCTGGATAGCATAATTTTTTAACCTGGTATTATCATTTGAAAAGCAGGCTCAAACTGCAGAGCTAAGAGTCAAGTAACTCAGTTTTAATAAAATTTCATGAATACCACCCATTAATTTTTATGACTCACTCTTACTATAGGACTTTGATGTTTGCAGTTCTCCTGGCCAGGAACACTCTGTCCCTGGGTCTCTTCTTGATGATTCCTTTGGCTGTTGAGATTGCCATGCAAAGGTCACCTCAGGGAAGCCTCATTGCCTGTTCTAATCAAAATAGCACCTTCCCCCATGATTACTCTGCCATGTTTTCTCTAAAGTCCTTGTCATCTTCTGAAATTATTTGGTTCTGTTATTTTTGTACATCATTCGTATTATCATTATTATTTCCCTAACAAGAGTGAGCACCTGTTACAATCTCCTTTATGGTCTGCTGCTCCTGAGGCAGCTGTAACTTCTCCTAAAACGCTGAGCTGGTTATACCCTGCTCAGCTTTCAGCATCCTGAATGCTTTGTGCCATCTTTAAGGCCTGCCACGGGCTAGCAAGATCCTGTGCGATGTGGCTCCCTCCCCTACCACACTCTTGGCCATGTGTCTAATTGCCTTCTTGCCTTGTTTCCCTTTGGCCACAGCTCTAAATCTTGCTTCTCTGGGAGAGCTGGCCACAGACGGGTCATCCCTTCATGGGAGCCCTTCCCGGCCACCCCATGTGGAAAAGCTCTCCAGTCACTATCTCCAATTCTTTTGGTTGATTTGTTTGTTTTTATTCACTACTACCCAACATATTATTCATTGTCCTTCAAGAACAAGAAGGTTTAAATGCTTGCCTAGTCCTTGACTCCGTTTAGGAACCCAGGATACAGGGCTGCAGACAGGGCTCTGGAGGGAGGAGGACAACACAGTCATGAGTAGGTAGAATATCCAATGTCTTCTGTGGCATCGGGGCCAACCAAAGCAGGAAGGAAGGCTGGGATCCACGGAGCGAGAGAGGGAGAATATAGAGAACCCAGTGAGAGTGCACAGTTGTGCCAAGACCCAAGGAGAAGAAGGGCTGAGTGTGGGGAGTGGCTGGAGGGGAGTGAGTGTGGATCTTGCTAGGAACGTCCTAGGCAAAGGCTCTACCCGTGGGATCCACTGCTGCAGAGATCATCAAAAGGAAGAGGGGGAGGCTGTAGGAGGAAGGACAGGGAACCAAGTAACACCAGCTCTCAGAGCTGCTCGTTTGAGCAGACAATGGTCTGAGCTGGCTTACTCTGAATGCCCTGGCCCCTAAGAAAGACTGGGAAACAAGTTGAAATAGAGAATCCCTTCATTTCAGGAGAGGCAGAAGTATCTAGGACGGGGAAAAGCTCTCCAGTGGGGATGGCAAGTAGTGTGATCAGTCTCACCATGTTTTGAAGGTATTTCTTAACAAGATTTGCCAAGAAACTGAGAGAACACCAGCAAAGATGGCTAAATCCAGAGTTTTAAGTCTAGGCCATGGGAATGATGGAGCGCTGAGATGAGGAGGCTTGAGGGAACAGGGCTGGGGTGAAGAGGAAATCAAGGGCGGCACCTCAGCTGGCTTTGCAGAGCCTTTGTGGCTCTGGCTTTACGACCCTCTCTGGGCTGGTCCATTTGGGGCCAGCACCGTGGCTAGATTTCAGGCCACATCCCTGTTCCTTGGCAGGGTGGCTAAACACACAGCCACAGGCCTCTTTCATTCACCAGGGGCTTTGTTTGGGGCAGGGTAAGTTACAGGACAGCTGGGTGTGAGAGTGGAGGTCAGCGGGGCCTAGGGAACGTTGCAATCCAAAGGCCATGTCCTCAGGCTGCCTTGCTATTGTATCTTTATATTTTATTTGTATGTGCCTTGAAGTTTGCATTATGTTCCTCTGTTTATCTGCCCAGTGATTTCTTCATCCTCATGTAAGCTAAAAGAAACCTGTGACTATTAGGTTGTTTCCTAATCAGTACATTGGTAGACCTAGCAGGGAGCCTGGCACAGAGGTATGTAATAACAGGTTGAATGAAGCAACCTGTTGGGGATGCCCTCACTTCCTACCTGTTGTGCTGTTTTATGAGGCCAAATGCGTGGTGAGGTCCATAGGTCAGTTTATGAGTCAGATGTTCTCATTCTTGCTCCATGCCCAGAATCCAAAGAGAGCTTTATAAAAAATAAATGAGTAAGTAAATAAACTTTCATCACTTAGTACCACTTACTGCATGGTTACTGAAAGGAAATTGGAGTTAGAAGTCATTTTACATTTATCAGGATCACCTTGCAGCTAAAACACATGCCAAACGGTGGTCAAACATTTAATGGGGAAAAAAGCCAGTTAGATAACAAATTCCTTTCATTGTTGCTTCTAAGCATCCGGCGTGTTCTTGAGGAGACTGTAAATGTTCTCCATGTACATCTAGTCGTGCTTATTGCTTGGAGTCCACTTTGAACTTTTTTCTTTGCTACATTGTGGGTGAGTTCTATTTCTGTAGTATGAGACAACGTAGTGACTTTGTTCTGTTGCATTTAGACTCAAGCCAGGAGCAGACAAATGCACAGGGCTTCAGATTTTTTTTATCTGGGTTGGCAGTAATGACTTTGCACCAGAGGTTTAACTGGGCTGTGTGTCTTTTAGCTATTGCTGTACAATGACAGACACTCCCAAAGTTCAGGGACTTGAATTAAAAGCATTTGTTGCTGTTCCTGAACCCAGGGTTCAGCCAGGCAGGTCCTGTGTTCTGGACTGGGCTCATTCACAGGTTGGATAGGCAGCAGTGTTCAGCCTGGCCCTGCTTTCTCAACAGATCTAGGCATGCCCATGGCTGGGTCATCTGTACTCCCATCCCACACTCAGCTAGACTAGGTCTGTCTAGTCTAGCAACAAGCTTCTAAGAGCAAGACCAGAGATGTCCAAGTTTCCCAAGGCTTCAGCTGGAAATGGGTGTGTTGTAAATGCCGCCCCCTTCCACTTGTCGAAGCAAAGGGTAGCAAGACAGACTCTGCCCTGGGTGGGAGTGCTGCGGGGTCCCACTGCAGAGAGCGTGAGAATCATGAGTCTAACACCTGGATGTGTAGGGTCACAGGGTCCACTAGGGCCTAGCAAGAGGACCCCAGGGAATGGTGTGACTCTCCTCTGTTGCTAAGAACACTGCTTCTCGACCCATCTCTGTCCTCACGTCCTGTTGCCCCAATATTTGGGAAACATTTTGCAGCTTGAACTTCTCTATTGGCTTGTAGGTTTGAACTGCTTCTCCCTCTCAAAAAGCAAAGAAATGAGCAAATGAACAATCTTGCCAGAAGTACATCTGTGATTGCCCTTTTTTTGTAGAAATATGTGAAAGTGAAAAGCAATATATATGAATATCTGGCGTATGACTGCTTTTCCTGCATGGCTCTCCCGACCCCTTTGGGTTTTCCACAGTGATGAGTGTGTACTTGCCTTGCAGGATTATGCCCATATGTTGACCTGCATCACTGAAAGAGAGAAGTTTATCGTGCCCATCAAAGCCAGAGGTGCGCGAGCCATCCTGGACTTCCCCGACAAGCTGAATTTTTCCACTTGCCCCGTCAAGTACAGCACTCAGAAGATCCTGCTGGTACAGAACATTGGCAACAAAGATGCTGTGTTTCACATCAAAACCCGAAGGTATGCGCTCCTGCCGCCCTAGTTTGATTGATTACGGCTAGCTCTAGTCAGCAGAAGTCATTTGCCAGAATAGCGTTCAGGATGGAACTGCTTGTTGCAGTTTTGAATCGCAGGAACTAAGAGACCTCACCAGTGCGGGTTAGACTTCCTCCTTATCCTAAGAGAAAAAGAAAAAAATGGGGTTTAATGTATTATATCCGTTAAAAAGAAGTAGATACTGTCAACATTTTAGAAATGCTGGTTGAGAATCCTTTTTCTAGTATGGAGAATTAGCCCATGGGAATTTATAAATGCATTTTGCCTGTAAATGTTTATCACTGGCTGGCTCGTTTTATATCGCTGTGATGGCGAATTTCTGCAAATTTAGTGGCTTAAAACATCACAGGCTTGTTATTTTACGTCTTATCACGTCATCAGTCTCGCTGAGCTGAAATCAAAGTGTCAGCAGAAATGGATTCCTTTCTGATGACCCAAGAGTGGAGTCCATTTATTTACCATTTTTCTAGTTTCTATAGACTGTCCACATTCTTTGGCTCAGAGCCCTCAGTTTTCATGTCTGAAAAATGGGAGAAAGTGTTAATAGTCATTTCCTAGGTTGTTGTGAGGGAACACACACACACGCACGCACTGACACATATACATATATGGTATGACAGGAAAATTTTTAATTTTTTTTCTTCTGTGAACCAATGTGGTAGGCAGAGCAATGACTCCCAAAATATGTGCACACCTTAATTCTCATAACCAGCACCTGCTGTGTTACATGGCAAAAAGGGATCTTTAAGGTTGTTAATTGAGTGACCTTAAAATGAGGGGATTGTCCTGGATTCTGAGGATGGGCCTAATGTAATCACAAGGATTATTACAAATGTAAAATGGAAAAGTTGAGAGGGATGAGGAGTTGTTCCCTCCAATAATGAGAAAACTGGGGGCTGGAGAGTTTGGGTCATCTCCTATAGCACACAGAGCTATTGGGCAAAGGAGAAGAATTTTAATATGAACATCCATGAAGTGGCTACTGTGTCGAGACCATAGAGCAATATAAGGCAATGGACAATCCTTGCTCTCAAGAAATTCTCCTGTGAGACAAGAAGAACTAATTTGGTATGTAACATGTATGAGACCAGTGACTGATCCATCCATGGGGCTTCATCTGGAAACCAGCTTGGGAAGAAAGGAAGCAGGGAGTCATGTTCTCCTCCACAACTGTGAGAACACAGTGTATGTGTCAGCCTGGGTTGGGAGCTCATTTTCCAAAGGGCTTTGTCTGTGGAGTCCTTGGCTGGTTTAAGAACGTATTTCTCCAGGAAAGATTAGCGTTTGCTTCTGACTGGTTTCTGAAGGTCAGTGTATGCTAGCATATCAAACTGGTAATTTCTTGGCTCAGAGGTCCCTGGGATGGTATTATATATTCAGACCACAAAACTGCATCAGACACAAAGTCCAAAGTTAAAAATTTGCTAGAGGAACTTGGTTTTCCTTGCTCAAAACCAAGACAGACAATTTTTCATTTTGTTGATGGTATAATGTTTTGGAAGCCTTTCCAGTTTCCACTGTTGATAGGAAATGTGGAATACTCACCTGACTTGACCATCCCAAGGCGTTGCCTCCTGACTCACCGGGGCTTTTTAAAACCCACATTTTTAGGCTTTGGAAAACCCAAGTAGACTTATTGCTGAGGTCTTAGTTTCCTCCTTGTTATAGATTCCTGTGTGTTTTTCTTATTTGAGTTCAGTGACACATTTGTGTAAGTTATTTTAAAATGCAGTCTTTGTAGGGTATTTTCCGGTGGAATGTTTCAGGCTACCAGTCTTCCATATTGCAGGAGTGCTGGGTTTACAGGTTGTAGGCACATCCCATTGGAGGAAAATTGAATTTATTCTTTATAGTGTTGTGAGAATATCATTATCTCTGAGTTATTTCAGATAGAGCACATTTATGTCTGATATAATTTGCCTGACTGAAAAACTACCTTTAATATTTCTTGTAGCACAAGTCTGCTATAAATTTTCTTTTTGCCTATCTAAAGAAGGCTTTTATTTTTCCTCATTTTAACATACTTTAATTATTTGAAAGGCATAATGACAGAGAGAGACAGAGAGTTCATCCGTCTGCGGGTTCATTCCCCAGGTAGCTGTGACAGCCAGGCTGGGACACACCGAAGCCAAGAGCCTGACCTCCGTCTGGATCTTCCCTTTGGTGACAGGGACCCAGGTGCTTGAGCCATCTTTCACTGCTTTTGCAGACGGGGGGGGGGGACCTGAATCAGAGCAGCAGGGATTCTAACTGGCATTCCCATATGGGATACTGGCGTCACAAGCCATGGCTTAACCAGCTATATGGCAACACTGGCCTTCTTTCATTTTTGAAAGACGTTTTCTCTACAGCATGAAATTCTGAGCCAACATTTGAATTATACACATATTTTTACAGCACTTGAAAGATGTCTCTCTGTTGTCCTTTGACTTGCATTTTCCGAAGGAGAAGTCAGCTGTATTTCTTGCCTGTCTCCTTTTCTGTGTGATTATGTCTTTTTCTCAATTTCAAAATTTTATATGTATATTTGAGTATTAGTTTGAACATGATATGTCTCAGTGTAGGGTTTATTCAGATGTTTCTTCTCTTTCATCTTCTCTCACAATTTCTTCTTCCTGTAGGGAAGCTCTGCCACCAGTGAAAGCCCCAGTTGAAACCATCTGTGCAGGGTCCATCCCCCTGGTGGAAAGGAAATTATCTTTCAGCTTCAGCCTATTTTTCCTGCAACATCAGTTGTCTGATGGGTTCAAGAAAAGTTGTGAATTTCATTTTTGTTTTTGTTTTTGTTTTTCATTCTGACTAGCTTTCTGCATCCTAGATAGAAGAATGGCTCTCCAAGTAAATCAATGAGAAAAGGCAAAGGCCTCATTCTCGAGGAAACCCAGGTCCTCTGAATTGTTCATATGTACTTGGTGTGTTCTGCCTTTGTCATCTCATGGTGAGCCATACAGATTTTGGTTGAGGGAGAAGGCAGCAGATTATTTTCCTGTTCCACTCTGGTATTAATAGGAACACATTTTTTTTAAATGAAAGAACTGCTGCTTACCATATTGAATACACATTAAAACTTTCTGTTGTGTTAATTTCTTATGGAGAATCCACCTATGGTGGAAAGCCAATGTATTTTCCTAATCTAGAACAATTCTGGTGTAAAATGAAGAACCAACTTGAGAACTATCAATGAATCAAACTACATGAGAGACTCTACTTCAATATTCTCATTTTACAAATGAAAGAAATAATTGCTTGCTCAAAATGTACCAGGAAGGCCTGGGTTAGGGTGAGCATGGGCCAATTCTGAGCCTGATAGCTTTCGGATCTTTTTCTCATCCTTCTCTTGGCTCCACCCAGGGTCACTATGGGGCTGTGTCAGTCTCTGCAGTCTCTTGGGTCAACTGGGTTCTGTCTGCATTTGATCAGTTGGGAACATTAGAAAGAGACTGGAAGGCAGGAAGAAGCCAAGGGATTTCTTCTACCCTCTGGTTGCCTCCAGAAAGGTCTCCACTGTGGCTGAAACTCCTCTGTGGTTCCAGCTACTGTCAGGTGACTCTGGCATGGTTCCAACTTCTGCCAGATAAGCCTGGTCCCCAGAACCAGATGACAGGCCTTCCTCTTCTTTTGCCTCCCACCAAGGGGTAGAAATGGCTTGCTATTATTACCAATCCCTGAACTGTCTCACCATCTTAGGTTTGATTTCTTAACTATCCCATTTTCTGAGTAGTCAAGTCTCTCAAATTCCCGGCTTTACAAGTTTTTTTTTTTTCTTCTGGTTAGAACTATTCAGGAAAGAGTAGTTTTAGGCTCTTGGCACAAAATTCATGCTTTCCAAACATATCGTCAAATCGTGAAGGTTGTCACAGTGCTTCCAGTCAATCTCTTGTCTGAAGTCGCCACACTGGGCAACTGATGTTCGCAGCTGAGGGTCTCGGGGGCCACAGTGGGAAAGGATGCAGTTGAGTTTGTGATTTTATGTTGAATCAGGATCTCTGGGGAGATCTCCTGATAAATATCCATTTCAAAAACTATCTGGAAAACTCTGTTGCCCCAGTACAGTTCTGTAACGACCACTTTGACTGATAGATTCATCTAAGTTATAAAAAATAAAACAGGCGCTCCTTTTATCTGGAAAACTCTGTTGCCCCAGTACAGTTCTGTGAACTTCCCAGACACAAGGATTGTATCTATTTGCATTTATTCTCATCTGTACGTTCTTAGCAAAGTGTCTAGAATAACTGAGTACTCTCTAAATGTTTATAGGATGCGTAACCTGCAATATATCACAAAAGCAAAGCTACAGCTATAAACATTTACAATAATTTAAAATTTAAAAAATGCTCCAACTACTATAAAATAGACATACTGCTTTTTTACACTAATAAAAGGAGCTGCAATGCGTTGTAAAAATATGCAGAGACATAAACAATGACTGTTCAAGTTTATTGCAGATTTGACCTAAAACTCTAGAGGGTGGCAGAATAACTATAATTATTAAACCAGAATTACTTTTGTGAGGTGAAAAAGGATTAAAAAAGCAATATCCAAACCTTAAGTCTCAAGTTACTAATTAGTTGAATAATAAGCATTATCTAAAGGAAAATGCTAATACCCACTTTTTAATAAAGCCAATATTTAGTCTTATGCTAAGATATTAAACTATGTGGCTCAGACAGTTTTAGTTCTTAAGAATAATTTATAATTAATCAACTTGGGAGCTAGGGCAGGCCCTGGCCTCGTCCGCTGGACTCCAGCACCCATTGATTCATGTAGAAGACAGGGCTGGAAACAGATCTCACCCAGCAGTTGCAACCACCAGCATATACATAAGCTGATGGGGCTTTTAACTGTCCCAGATCCTTTACTGGCAAGCACACACAAGAATCCGGTCTGGGATCACCTCAGATGAAGCTTCTTTGGGGATCCCCCCAACTGAACTGCTGATCTCAGAACCCTAACCATGAAGAGAAGTGCGGCTCCATGGTCTGACTATGGAGTGCATGTATCAAAGCTGAGCTGCCTCAGTGGCTCATACAGAGCAGTGGACAGCATATCCAGGTGCCCATGGAGGATATGGCAGTCCATTGGAGCCTGCTGGGGATACCTGGAACCACAACAGAGGACAGAGGACAGAGCGAATTGGTCAGCTACTCCAGCCACATGTTGGTAGTAAAAATCTGGGCAAATGGAGACTCTAAGGTGGACAAATATATGTCCACAATATATGTCCATCTTAGAAGCCAGTAGATTCTGGAGAGATTTCATCATGCTTGGGATGGCGAGATTGGTTGCAATTCAGAATTGTTGAACTGTCAAAACCATATGAACAGTGGCCTCAGAGCATGCCCCACGTCAGGGACCCTGGGATGGTTGGGAGGCTGGGTAGAGCTTCTCCCTTTATTTCCCCCCACCCCAGATACAGAAAAACAAAAGGTGTGGAAGCAATGGCCTTATCTACTTTTCTGTAGCCCTTGACCCTTTGAGCCCTAATCAACTATGTAAAACTCATCAAAATAAAATAATAATCATAATTTTTTTAAAGATTTATTTTTATTATTTTTTTATTGGAAAGGCGGATATACAGAGAGGAGAGACAGAGAGGAAGATCTTCTGTCCGATGATTCACTCCCCAAGTGAGCGCAACAGCCGATCCGAAGCCAGGAGCCTCTTCCGAGTCTCCCACGTGGGTGCAGGGTCCCAAGGCTTTGGGCCGTCCTCGACTGCTTTCCCGGGCCACAGGCAGGGAGCTGGAAGGGAAGTGGGGCTGCCGGGATAGAACTGGCGCCCATATGGGATCCCTGGCGTGCAAGGCGAGGACCTTAACCACTGCGCCACCACGCCGGGCCCAGTAATAATCATAATTTTAAAAAATTAATTAAATAAAGACTCAAAATCTTCCTCAAAATTCATAACTTTTCACAAAGCCAAGTTTCTTTCCTAGGCAAATTAATGAGATTCTGGTATCAAAACCAAGCATTTTGCTGGACAGTGCTAACTTTACACCCTTTAGGAATGATGTCTTTTAGTTCTTTCTAAGAGAACTACTTTTTACTAAAATGAAGCAAATCAAATTATAGACACTATTTAAGTAACAGAAACTTAACACACTCTATTCATTTAGCATACGGTTTATTAAGAAAGATCAGCCAGCTGTAATAGCAATGAGATTCCCAGGAGACTTTACTAACCATTGGAGAATTGTAATGTAAACTAAACAGTGAGCACAGAGAGAATGTACCCATTGCTATTCTATGAGATTTCAATTGCTGCAAGTCCTCTGGAGGTGGGATGTCAGTGTCCCTTCCCTACAGAAACACAGCTTAACTTTTGCAATGTAATAATATCGAATACATTTCAAAATTGTTAACTTTCTGTAAATAACTATTTGAAGAAAAAATGAAAGTGCATTTAAGATAAAAGTGCTAGGAATTGGGCAGGCAATCCCCAAAACAGATATCTAGATCCCATTTTCCACTCTTTTGAATTCTTACTGAGGTTGAGCCTGGGAGACTCATTTTCATCAGCCATGAGGCAGATTCTTAAGATGATAAAAGCTGGCCCCTGTTTTACCAAGGTATTAGAAAATGCAATGAATGGTTGCAGGCATTTCTATTTCCCTTGAAGGATTCATTGTAATTAAGTTCTCTAACCTCTTCTGAAGTTTTTATGAGTAAAGAAATGTGCAGGGGGTGGTGAAAAGGTGAGACACAGGTGAATCTAGCCATGTGGTTTCCATGTTCAAGGGTAGGCAGAGAGGACAGGAACTTGAAGGCAGGCTTTTCCTCTCAGCCTCACCACTGCTCACTTGGGCAACTTTGGACAGGTTTTCTTCCCTTCTGGAGCATCTGTTCTTTCATCTGTATATAAAACATAAATAATCCCTGCTTTCTCACATTTTTTTTTTTCTCAAGAGTTCAAAGAACCAGCATATCTAAATCGCCCAGTACAGTCTCCAGCATAGAAATGTGCCCATGAATTTTCTGTTTGATTTCCCCTTTCAAGAGGTGCTAGCTATTGAGAGAGGTAGTCATGAAGACTAACTCTAGTACAAGGCAAAATGTGGAAAGAACCGTAAAGGTTATGCCTGAGAGAAAGGAGGCATGGTGTCTAAGAGGGAGAACTTGGACGATTTCTGTGATCATGGTGAGTTGGAAAGGAGTATGGCCTGTGGGATGTGGTGAATGTTCCTGCAACATTGGGCAGTTCTGGACTGTCAGTGTGGGGGGCAGTCTGATTGAAAGACAGAGCTGGTGTGGTGCTGGGTAGGAGCGGGCTTGTAAGTGCAGAGACTGTCCTGTCTTACCCCAGCACTGACTTTAGTATGAAAGGTGGTTGGGCTATTTGGACAGATGGATGTGTGCAATCAAAATGCAAAAACTGCTCAGGAAAAAATTGTATGAGACCTCAAATGCCTAGGAGTTTGAATTGCAGTGCCTAGATTAAGAAGACCTGTGGGAACAAGAGATTGATGTGTTATGTCAGGTGTGGGTTTATTACAGTGCCCCTAAAACAGTGTAAAGAATTGAAGAGATTGATAAAAAAAAAAACCTTAAACTCATCTAAACACCTCAATCTATCCTTAGGTTTGTCTTCCAACATCTAAGAAGCTACTAGTAAGGAAAAGAAAAATAACAGTAGCAAAAGTAATAATAAACACTTGAAAAGACCTTTACATGCCAGGCTCTATGCTGAGCACTTGACCTGTATCAAACCCTGCACTTCCCACTACAACCTTAGGAAGTAGATGCTGTCATCACACTTTCTTTACAGATGAGGAAACTGAAGGGTGAGTAACTTTGCCCCAGTTCCCGGCAGAGCTGGGTTTGAACTCAGCTCCAGAATCCAGGCTAGCAAGCACCATACCAGGATTCCTTTACAGCAATGCCCAGAGTCCATTGGAAGATGGAAGCCAGATCAACTCTTGGGGAAAGGTTAGAGAAGGGAAGAGGGGACTTCACCGGGTGAGAGGTGAGATGACCAGAGTAGGGGACACCAGACAAGAGCAAACAGTTGCTCATGATAGGAAGCGCAAGCAGAAATCATCTAGGAAACCAGCCAGTGCCATCCTTGCCAAAAACTTGCTGTACCTTCATGGCAGAAAGCTTAGTTTTTTCAAAATTTATTTCAGCTAAGGGAAGATATGATGACTTTAAAAACTGTTTTGATAGAAATAAATAATCATAAATAGCTTAGCCTGCCAGATATATTGTACAACACATTACTTTGAAAAACTAGCAATTTAAAGAAGGGAAATGGACCATGAAAATAATTAAATGGACTTAGTTTCCTATTTAAAAGGGAGAACTCCAAGTTATTTAAGGTAGCCTGTGATCCAATGCAGCTTCTCTGTTCCTAATCCCCGACAAGACAAACTGAAATATTTCCAGTTCCAAATCTACCTTACTTCCCGCAGTTCCTAACGTCCCTAAATGGTATGTTCAGTTCATGAACTTGTCCCCAGTTTGCTTTTTCTGATGCACTGTCCACTCTTCTCTGGCCTGAGCTCACCCAGGAGGCTGGCCTCTCTGGTCTGAGTCAACAGGCCCCAGTGCCTTCTGGCTTCTGGTTGAGTTTAGCCAGTGAGAGTCCCAGAAGGCAACAGATAAAAAGGGATCTGATGTAAGATTTGCCTCTCTATGGTGCTTAACTGTGAAACCACAGACTGAGGGTCTGCCTTAACCGAAGGTCCAAGGCAGGCCTTCTCTCAGTCTTCTCATAGTAGGTTTTCACAGACCGCTTCTTTCCCCCCAAGACTTTCTGGACCCAACAGGGCAGCTAACTCTGAGCTACTACCACATCTCTTAGAGTTCTCCCACCTCATTTAAACAAATCATTTGTGAACCCATCCTGGAATTACTTAATATGAGTGTGTCATCACTTTATTTTTGGGATCTTGTTTCCCGCTATGGTGAGGTCTTTCCTCTGAACTCTCACCAGGAGCTGATTTTTATTCCTTTGAAGGGACTGTTCTTTTTGCAAATGGCACTAGTCTCATCTATATATTTTTGAAGTATGGCCCTTCCTGGAATCTCAGTGTCTTGAGGGCAAAGCCAGATTTTTATTCATTTTTCATCGTCCCATGCCAGTGCCTGAGCCCAGTGGGATCACTTGGTGGACATTAAAAGAAGGACTGAAGGGCAAGGAGGCAAGCAAGAATATTATTATTGCATCATTCATTTTTTTTCTTGCTGAATCTACTACTTGCTGATCCATTACTGCTATTTTAATATTAACACTGAAGTCCGTTCATATTAGAGAGAAGTAGTCTTTACTTCTTGATCACAGAATTCAGGAGTTGAGTTTCAGCCATGTGCAGAGCTGGAATCCTTGTCCCCCAGACCCCGTTACCCTAGACAGACAGGAGGCCTGACGGAACATCCCCATGTGTCTCACAGGCCGTTCTCTGTAGAACCAACTGTCGCTACTCTTGACGTGGGAGAGTCCATGCAGCTGGAAGTGGAGTTTGAGCCGCAGAATGTGGGCAATCATAGCGAAAGACTGCTCGTGTATTATGACACAGGTATGCTTTATTCAAAAGTTCTTTGTGCTAAGAAAGATGGTGTGTCACCTTCCTGGAGATCATCATGTGCAATGCAGCCCCACTCCTTATCCTATGAAAAGGCAACCCCAGCCTAGGTTGGCGCAGTTCTCTTGAGGTTGTGTATTTATACCATTCCCTTTTAACAAATCCTGTCATTATGATCTTAAAATAAAAGGAGAAGGGGAAAAGAATGGTCAGATATGAAATGTGATGAAGTTTCATAGGAAGTGGTAATGTTGGCTGTATTAGAGAAAGTAAGAAGCCTGTGGTAAAGAACCAAAGCCTGCAGTAGCAGTGATGTGGAGCCAGGAATAAATCCCATCTCCCCGATTTCCTCAGTGCTGGAAAGCCTGAGGAATCTAGGGCTTAGTCCCAATGATTGAGGTTGTTATGTGTAAGTGGGAACTCGGAGGGAACAACCCCATGGGTTTTTCATTTGATTTATTGCTATACTAAGGCAACATTTAAAAATGCAAACCTACATTTGAATGTCCTTTAGTGTACGTTCACTAATCTAGGCAAGAGCTGGTAATTTTAAATATTTAGTGTGTATAAATATATTCATGTACATAACATTGTACATGAATGCAGAGGGCAGCCTATCACCACTGGTATTTTTCTTTCTTTTTTTTTTTTAAGACTTATTTATTTTTATTGGAAACGCAGATTTACAGAGATGAGGAGATGCAAAGAAAGACTTTCCATCTGCTAGTTTACTCCCTAAGTGGCCACAGTAACTGGACCTGAGTGATCCAAAGCCAGGAGCCAGGAACTTTTTTGGGGCCTCCCAATGGGTTCAGGGTTCCAAGGATTTGGGCCATCATGTGCTGTTTTCCCAAGTCATTATCAGGGAACTGAATGGGAAGTGCAGCAGCTGAGACATGAACCAGCACCCATATGGGTTCCTGGCGCTTGGCGCTGGAAGGTTAGGCAGTTGAGCTATTGTGCCAACCCACACTGATATTTTGTTGAGTGCTGTACCCTGTGTACTCATGAACTGTTTTTGCAAATATTTCATTTGTGATCATGTATATTTTGTATATTATTCATTCACCAAACTTGCTTTTCAAATTAATGTCTTAGTATCGTTTATTATTTCATCATTTTTCTTGTTTCTTTCTTGCTTCCTTTTACTCACACATGTTAATTGACCCAAATTTTCCTTGAAAGGACATTATAGGGAGAAAACAAATGCTGAATCAGGGTGAGAGCTCCAGATGACTTCTGAGTCATGGTTCAGGCTTGCTGGCTTTGTGGGTGTATCCGTGCAGCCTTACCTTAGGTCCTGTGTTTAGGTGGCCCCAGTTCCACATTGCCAGCATAACTGTAACCTTTGGCATAGGCCACATGTCTTAGCGACTAGTGTTCACTCTAGTGCACTGGTGCAGGCAAGAGAAACTTGGAGAGGACAGAACTTTTGATCATGTCATGAAATGTAAAAACGTAGCTCATAACACCGAGACATTAGTTGTCCAAGGAAGTTGTGCTGCTTTACGTTGCCACCCAGTAGAGGGGGGCAGTTCCAGTTGCTTCATATCCTTTCCAACATATAGTATAGGTTTGTTTTTAGATGTGCCACTAATACGAAGTGTGTGTAACAGTAGGTTCATTCTCACTTCCTTAATGATTTATGATGTTGAATACCGTTTTGTGTGAATTCATGTATCTGTTTTAAGTATTTGTCTGAGATTTTGTTCATTTTTCTTTTTTTTTTTTTTGTTCATTTTTTTTATGGTTAGTTTTTATTGTCCTTTACAACTCAATATTCTAAATATTAGTTGTCAATTATAGGTTGATATCTGCTTCTACTCTTAGTATTTCTTGATGGGCATAAATTTGTAATTTTGATTTATTATTTTAAGTTTTTTGTTTAATAGTTAATACTTTTTGCCTTCTTGCTAAAAAATTATTTTTTCTTCTCCAAAATGGTGCATATTGACTGCAATATTCACTTCTGGTGAGAGTATCATCTCCGTTCCTGTATTTAGGTTACTAATCTAGCTTAAATGTCATTTTTGTGTAGGTGTGGATAGGAGAGCCACATGTCATTACTCACTCTGGGTTAGTGACTCTTCCCTTCTCTCCTACTCTCACATTCTGGAATTCCTGTTAGAGCTCCACTATCATTCTATTTATCTGTTACTATATTATTTATCCCTGTTAAGCTATACTATGTGTTTTACATTTCTTTGTATCTGTAGACTGATCTCAATAACTTCTTATCCGTTGTCTTGTTCCGGAGGGTCCCCTTTAATGAAATCTCACCCCTAGATTTCTAAAGCTTTTTATCTTGAGTGGCCATTAAATGTTCTCAAATATATTTTTCACATTTATTGACATAATCATAAATTATTTCACCTTTATTTTTCTGACATGGTAGTTAGTTTTGAAATGCTAAATTCCTTCCACATTCTTGGATAAACCTGTTTTAAGCATTATCGTTTTAGTAAATAACTAGATTAGATTTACTACTATTTTTTTCTGACAATTTGATATCCAAATCTATGAGAAAAGTTGGCATATAAGTTTTTTTTCTTTTCAAATAATATCCTTGGTAGGTTTTGGTGTAACATTAAAATATTCTCTTGAAACAAATAGGAAATTATTCTCTTAGTCTTTGGGAAAAAATTTTTTTTAATACTACTGCTGAGGCCTTCTGTGTAAGCTGTCTTTCACTTTTTAAGGAATACAGATTTTTTATTTTTTAAGTGATTTATTTCTTTGAAAATTAGAGTTACAGAGAAAGAGGGTGGGACAAAGAAGGAAGGAAGGAAAGACAGACAATGTGAATGAATCTTCCATCAGCCGGTTCTCTCCCCAAATGGCCACACTAACCCACAGTGGGCCAGGCAGAATCTAAGAGACTGCTTCGAGTCTCCCACATGGCTATGAGTGGCAGGGTCCAAGTACTTGGGCCATCTTCTGCTACTTTTTCCAGACCATTACCAGGAAACTAGATCAAAGTGGAGCAGCCAGGGCACAAACTGACACTCAAAAGGGATGCTAGTGTCACAGATGGTGAGTTCACCAGCACTGGTTTCTTACACTGTTGTTCAACTAATTTTTTCCACTTAATCTAAAACCTTAAGTTTGTCAACTAAAAATGTTTCAGAGTGTGATTTTGTTCCTCTACTTCTTCAGATTTGATTTCTTATACTTTTTCTCTAACTCTTGGGAGGAATGCTCATAACATTGATATTCAGCCTTTATGCTTTTATATTATACACCAGTAAGACAGTAAATTTAAAACTTATGTCAAATTTCCCCTATGTTTTTAGTGTTCCATTTTATATTAATTCTTAATTAGAATCACTTTGGCATTTTCGTTTTTATTTCTTCTTTTTTCTTTCGCTATTTGGAAATGTGTTGAGTAATATTTAGGAATTTTTCAGTTATCTTTTTATTACAAAATCCTAGTTTTATTTCACAAATAAAATGAATCTTGGATGATTTCAGGCCTAGAAATTAATTGATAATTTATGACCCAGAATGGTTCATTTTTCTAAATGTACCCTGTTCTTTTTGCCTGCTTACTAAAAGGTTATCAAGTATCAAATAGGTTAGTTTGTTAATCATGAAACTCAACCTATGCCTCAACTAAATTTGCTACCCTTTTTCTGTTAGATATTTTGAAAAGGTTATTAAAACCCACAACTCTGATTCTGAATTTCCTTCTTCTATTTTTTGAATGATAAGTTTTTCATATATTTTGAGGCATGAAACTTGGTGTATTCACTTGTTGGGTTTTTACAGCTTTCTGCTGAACTAACATTTTACCATTATGAAATGTTTTAATCATTAGCGTAAGGTTTCTGACATCAAAGTCTAGTTGATTTGGTGTTTACTAAGAACCTTGAGTGTGGACATCGAATGTCCCTCATCCTTCTACTCTGAGCTCTCTGTGTTTTCATATTTAAAGTATGGTATCTGGAAATGCTGCCACGTGTTTTATAATCCAATCTGAAAATTTTTATCATTTAATTTTACTATTAAGTCTTTTTTATTGAGTGCAATTACTGATATATTTTTTGCTATCAATCTTTTGCTCCATCATTAAGTATTCAATACCACGGTGGGAAAATCATTAGTTGAATTACAGCCAAAATCTTTGTATTGTTAGAGTAAATAGGCAATAAAATTGGAAAAATATAAGTGCTAATAAACTCATTCTGTGACAGATTTCTTTCATCTGAGTTCCCATATCTTTCCCAGAAATTATTTTGTCCATGTATTGGAAAAAAAGGAAACATGGCCTTAGAAGTAATTATTTTGGATTATCATCACAAGATGTTAATCCAGGAGATGGAAAGTGAATGAATGAACCGTACAGAATCATTTTGCTTTCACTAAAATAAAACTGTTGATAAATACTTAAATAGTGTTTACCTTTCTTTATCCCTTTTTAATATTCTGGGCATATTTTTACTACAGTTGATATGCAAAATTAGTAATTTAAGACTTGCAAACAAGTCTTCAAATGTTGGGATACAATTTCAATTTTGGTTGAGGTTTGATACTTACCTGGTTGGAGTGTTCACCATCTTTTACCAAGTACTCTTTCTACCATTCCAAAATCTTGCTAATTTTTATTACCATATTTGCATTTTTTAATTCCATAATTCATTTGGCATGCAGCTGCATGCTGCAAGTGGCCCTTGATCTCGATTTTGTTTGTATATGTGTGTTAGGATTGTTCCCTTACTTAAAGTCCTGTGCTAAAGGAAATGTGTAGAACCACAATCGTGTTAAAATCTGCTCACTAGTGGAAAAGTTGGTTTGTACACCATGAGGTTCTGGTGTCAGTTTTGGTGAATGGGTAGTCATTTTCTGAAGATTGCAGACAAATAAACTCTTGTGATAGTTTTCCTTACAAGAAACAAGCTGCTGATAAGAATATGCTTTCATCTTTCGTGTGGGTCATCAATGGCCATGACCTATAACTTTGATTTGTGAGGAACAATAATGATTATCTTAGCACA